ACTTTTTGTTTATTAAAACTAACCCCTTTTTACATTCCTACATTTATATTTATTTTCTTGCTATTTTACACTCATATTCTATTCTGTCTTTCTTTATCAATTTCTTGGTTCTTCTTTGCTGAATTCTAAACTTCTCCCACCCCTCATGATGCCACAAAAATTTGTCATCTGTATAAATCTCCTCCTTTGATTTAATATTTTATTTAACTTTCCTTCTTAACCATGGCTTTCTCACTTTTCCTGTTGGATTTTTTTGCCTCAAAAGGAATTTTTTTTAAAAAAAGCAAGCTTTAATTATTTAAATTCTAGCCATTGCCTATCTACCATCAAACCATTTGATGAATTTCTCTAACGCATCACGGCCAACATCCTGCTCATAACTACAAATTGCCTTCAAATAGATTTAAGACCACAATTTCAGATTCAACCACATATTTGCTGATTTGAAGGAAAGTTCTTTCATACTATGATCACTATTCCCTATTCTTTTACAACAATAGTATATTTAACCCTTTGGAGCCCTATGCCCTTTGCAATTAAGACTATTGGGAAATCTAGAATAACAGGGTTGACCATTTTGAAGGCCTGAGGTATTCTGCCCTACCCCACCCAAGTCCTTACTTTAACAGGTTAGATGTATCTTAAAACACACCTCAGCATTAACCCTTTCACAACTGTTACCTTCTCCAATAAATTATTAATTGTGCTTTATTGAAGAATGGAGTAAAGATTTCCTGCGCAATATTGTGTGCGACCTTAGTAACGTGCAGGTCCGGAAAAGAAATTTGTCCCTTCCCTTGTATTCAAAAGTACAATTCTTTGTTTTTGTTAGTGCAGAGTAAAAGATTAATGCTTGAATATATAAATAACAAGATTTTAGTAGTAATGTGATAGTTTGAATGATAATAAAGGCGTTCTAAAGAGGTAAGCAACCCATGGAGACCTCATACTAAGCTTAAGTAATTCCATATGAACAAACGGTTACCTTGAAAAGACCACAGACACCAGAAACCTCTCCGTAAGGAGGAAGTGCACCCAACCTCGTACAACAACAACAGCATTAGGAGCATAGGAACTGAAGGTCACTCTCTGTGTCATGACGCAATTTATTTCAATAACAAATCTACATCACAGTGCCAACAGCACACACTCTCTAAAGCTTTCAACATTATGTAAATTTTGGTAAGACATGGATTTATATTTACAACTTGCTCATGCAGAAAGCCAATGATTTTGATTGCCATTTTGGAAAGGTGTCACAATCTGAGTATAGGTTTTCCAAAGATAAGAGCAGAAAAAAATTGGAGAATGAATCGTCCGTGAGTCGTCCGTACAAATAAGGAAGGGTCACCTTACGCCGTACAGTTCAAGAGCAATATTGGCAGAGAATTCAATCCTCTCAGGTAGGGACAGATGAATGGGATAAAGAAAATAAAATCATTAATGGCATAAATTATCTTCTTTTCTGATCTGCTGCTTGACTAAGTCTGGTGTTGAGTGTTGGATGTCTGGCATCAGGTGTTTCAGAGAGTTGTACTGCAGAGCTGACTGTGCTGAGCACTGACTCACACTCTGCTGCGTGTTCCTAAGACTAGACTCCATTTTGTAAGAGCAGAATCTTATATTGAACTGGAATAGTATTGCAGTGATGTTAGTGTATTGTAGGAATTACATTTTCCATCAACCATTGTCCAAATTAAATGCACATTGAACACCTGGGAGAGATATACTTAATGCATGATTTGGAGGCTTTACTGAAGGAATTCAGTCTTTAAAAAATACGTTCCCTGCTGATTTTCAATATACCTGTCAAATATTACATAGTACGGCACAAATTATTCACTGTGATAATTGAATGTGGAGCATTTTCCTCCCATAGTTGTCCATTTAGGAAAATGTATCTGTGTCAGATAACTGAAGGCTACAAACAATGACAAGGTATCCATTGCTCTTAGCTTTTTTTTAAAGAAGGGCTATTTTTCATTTTTCTAAGTTTGCCTTTTTCAGTCCCTGACCTCTGGAATGCATTGGCCAGGAAGGCAAAAATTCTGAAATATCGGCTATTTTCTTCCAAACTTTCATAGTGCATTATTTCTAATGCGCCCTTCTCATCCTGCCGATTGCTTCCCTCTCCTGAATGTGTTAATTCACGTGCTAATGCTGATTTTGAGGGAGAATTGAATCAATCTGACCATGTTCCTCACCGCCAATTCCACGTTCCCTCATTATGCTAACTCGGCCCTGACTGCACCATAAAATGGGAAAGTCCCAATGTCAGTGCTAGAGTAATATGCTTGCTATTAATGCAATTCCTGCCCACAAAATTGCCACTTTCTTAATGCAGCCATGTAAGTGCATTAGTGTTTTAAAATGTGCAGTGATATAGATAGACTGCAGCTCTCTACAGTTCCAATGTCACGAGCTCCACGGTGCATCTCATTCATGGAAACTACACACATCATCCACTATAAATATTTCTGTGGAAGAAAAAGCCTGTGAATCCCTACTACTACTTAATAACTGCTGTCATGGATTTACTATGTCATTATACCTAGAACATTTGTTTACTGAAATCAAGTTGTAAAGGCCTGAAACGCCTCAAAACACTGAAATCACTGGAAATTGGTAGTTCATACAATAGACAGAATTGCGTTTAAGTCAATAACAGATTGGAGGATAATGTCTTATAATACTATAATATTGCGTATGTTATACACATAATACTTTATTTTTAATCTTGTGGTTTATGAAGTTTTTTCCAGAAAGGTAACTGAAAAGACAAGGTGATTTGCTGCTAAGTTGACACTATTAAAAACTAGATGGACTGGCATGACAAAATGACACTGGCTATTTCCAAGAAGTGTGGTTCTTCTAACACACTTAGCACCTGAATACAACTTCCTTTATGTCTGTTGTTTCTATAAAAGTTATACTCTTTGAAAGCCATTGAAAAAGCGTTCAATAACATCAGCTTTCATTGTAATATTGTCAAAACCATAGATAATTGCACACCTACGGTAAAGTTCCGACTTACATTCTACATTCGTCAAAAAGATGAAGCATCAATTACGTAAAGTAATTAAATTTATTTTGCAGATAGTTTAGCCGCTGTCACATTTCAGGCCTGAAGAAAATGTCAGTGTAACGAAAACACTTACAATAATGTCTAACATATACTGTAGCTCGAACTTGTTTTCACCTGAGCAAGCCTGATATTGTTTTCGGACATGAGATGGTAAGTGGGGTTTCGAAGTTCGGCAGGATAGCTTTTCTGTGACACATAATCAGTCAACCATCCATGCTGGAAATTCTAGTGCAGCGGAACATTTTACCGAGATTCTGTGATATACATCAAATCACAACAGCCCCTCAGTTGCCGGGGGTTGTCAAAGTGTAGCTGCGAGGCAGAATGAGCAATCGCTGACACAATGCCATAAAGGGACGCAGTGTTAAACTGCTGAACAAAACACGTCATCTCACTGTTGAAGAAATGAATGCTTCAATTAAGAAATCAAAATATCTCAAAACTTTCAAAAAGGAAACCGAATTTATTGTGTTGTCGGAGAGAAACAAACGGTAATTAATTTAACACCGAATTCTAAAGCTTTTTTTCCCCAGAAACTTACCTCCAAGTAAAATATTGCGGACTCCTTCAATTATGTCACATTTTAAGAACTCTCACTAATCCCTATCATGTTTAATTCTACAACCTCCTGCCTCGAAACAGCCAGTATATTATTGATCTCAAATGCTGCTAACTTGATATCAAATCTCGTATTCAGATCTACTTACTTCTTTCAGAAAACGAGTCAAAAAAGAACGATTTCAAACAGCCAACTTCGCTTTCCCTGGTGGTGTCGGGCTAATGATTAGTCGAAGACAAAGTCAACTTTTCTTAAACCTCCTTGAAGTTATGCATTGATCACAAAGTCTGTCTAAAAAGCGGACAGGCTTTGGTAATTAGATTTCGTGTTTTTTTTGTTGTGGTTGCTCTAACATTGTGCGTCTGCCCAGTCGGTGCTGAGCTGACATCTCCAGCGTGACTCAGTCTCTCTGCGGCAGTAAGTATCCCTTTTAACGCAACATTAAACCCAATCCCGGTTCAAGCGACGTGTGCTGTGTACTTAAAACAAAAGAGGCGTCCGGTGTTAATTTCACACCGCATAATCCCCTTCCACCGGCTCAAAGATAATTTATCACCGAGATGTTTTATGACAACTACTGATCAATCGCAATTACTACCTTAATCTGATGTAGTTTAAGTGACAGGTCCCAGAATTTGGATGGCACATTTACACAGCAGCTTGCTACTTTGTTCCTTAACCCTTCGAGGACTGAATTAACTTTTCTTTCGCTTAACTTCCCCATTAGACGAAACACATGGGATAAAACGAACCCTAGGATGCTGCCCGTTACATTTGGGATGGGAAGTATAGACCATTGCAGCGGGAGAGGTGTGGAAAATAAAGGGAGCCCTTAGTAATTTTCTCACAAGAGTGGAAAACATAGTGACAGCGATCGGTGTTGGAGAGAGGTGACTTTCTTAAAAAAAAGAGCCAATCTTCTTGGAAGGCTGGCCATGGAGAAACTTGACATCACAGCATTACTGAAGCGACACATCCTGATCTCTGGAATCTCAAGCACGCGTCTCCAAAGTTCAGCACCGCTATCAGTTCTCCATCTAACGCAATGTTTCATTATGGAGGGGGGGGACGTGGAGATATAGAACAAAGAAAAAGAAACATACCATGCAACGAAACAAACTTATAAAACCATCAAAAGAAACCCACTTCACCCCCAATGTATGTGTCTCTCCCCCTCCCCAGTGCCCATATGGCACTCCACAAAGTTAACACTTTCAACTCGACATTTCCAGCCCCAACGAGGTACTGATCCACCGCGGTGCATGCCCATTTTGAAGGGGTGTTTGGAAGCACTGGGCAACACAAAGCTGGACTGTAGGCGTCAGCGGTCAGGAAGGAAGGAGCGGGTTCACTTACTTCACTCCGAGGCGCTTGGCTACTGCAGGGAGATCCCGCTGACTTGGTAAAGCGCAGCCGGCAGCTGCCCTCATTCAGACTGTGGCTCTCTCTCTCTCTCAGTGTGTGTGTTTTTCCGCTAGGTGCCCCACACTAAAATGGCTGCAAGTGAGGGAGCTTCAGCCAGTGGGATGTTTTTTTTTTATTGACGTTGCAGCCCTGCCACTGCAGTGCTGGATGAAAGAGAGAGAGAGCGATCAATAATTGTAGCCCAGGGAGTGGAGTGGGCAATCCCAGCTAATGGAACAATCCAGCCTCCAGCAACTGTGTGAGTGTAGAGGGGTGGGAAGCGAAACACAGAAATACTGTAATCTGCATTAACCCCCAGCCCTCTCCTCCCAAGAAAACATCCTAAGACAAATATTGTACGTGCACATTGTGGTGTGTCTACATACACATATGCAATGCAAGACATAGGTAATTGATAGTAGCTGATTCATCCACTCTTACTGTGGGTAAATGTGACTTTCGTTAACACGTGTCACCCAGTATTATTTTTGCAGTCGTGCATGGGATTTCTTGCAGCATCTGCATTGGTGCTGGTAGTTACATTGCTACAGCAGTATAAATGGACAATAATCTAGCATGTTTTACATAGCATGGTCTGTGATGTGTAATCACTAAGAAAAGACCAACAGAAATCTTTACTTCCATGCTGTGTTTAGGAAGGGTCAGATGCAGTTCGTTTTCATTTTCTCCTTGGCACAATCTTTGTCAGAGGTCATTTTTTCACCCTCCATTGTTGGGAGGCTCAAATGCCTCCCAAGCAGCATCAACAGCTCTCACAATCAGTTACAAAGAGTTGCCTGGGTCCATCTAACTGAGATTGTTTGCCTCCTCCATCTCCTGGCTACATGGTTGTGAATCATGAAGGACATGGGGCAATGAGCAAAACGGATCAAACATTTAACTGCTCTCCCTCTGCCATACCGAATGGTTGCAAATGCTCACTGTTAGTGAACTGTGTTGTTTTTGTTTTGACTAACCAGCCATTGCTAATGAATTGTTAGGAATGGGATATAGCACAGACAACACATCAGATAGATTAAGAGATATCACACAGAAAAGATATTTCCACGTAAAATCAGTCCATTTGACAGGGCTTCAGTTCAATATTACTTTGGGACTTATTTCAACAAAGTATATGTGATCTTCAGAAAACACGAGGCATCACTCCCAATGTAGTGTCCTTGAAAATTAGGCTATCATGACATTAGTGCTGTCCATTAGGTAAGTGAGGAAAGGGCAGGGTGATTTATTTTTATTTATACTTTCATGTGATGTGAACATCGCTGGCTGGGCTGGCATTTATTGCCAATACTTAATTGCCCTTGAGAAGGTGGTGATGAGCTGCCTTCCTGAATTGCTGCAGTCCATTGGTGCATGTCAATCCACAATGACCCAGTGACAGTAAAGTGGCTTGTTAGGCCATTTCAGACTTAACCACGTTGCTGTGGGTCAAGAGTCATACATCTGCCAGACCAGATAAGGATGTCAGATTTCCTTTCAATTTTGGCTGTACATTTTAATTTTAAATTCTACCAGCAGCCATGGTGAGATTTGAACCCATGTCCTCTGACTATTAGCCTGAGCCTCTGGTGCACTAGTTCAGTGACATTACAACCAATTCCTGTTGGATCGTCCTTCTTGCATACGTGAAGTACCTAATGTCTGTTTCAGTCATTGTCACTGCACACTAAATCTTTGGCTTTTTCCAAATGATGGTGGCTACTTTTAGCAGAACATGAAAGTGCACTTTCTACCTATCATGTTCAAGGCTTAGAAAGCTGTGTACCCAAATTTCTCAGCCACTAGTCTTGTAGGAATCACTGTTTGGACCAGCACAGATTGCCCATCCTTAATTGCCCTTGAAAAGTTGGTAGTGAGCTGGCTTCTTGAGCCACTGCAGTCCATGCAGTGTAAGTACATCCACAGTGCTGTTGAGATGGGGCTCCAGGATTTTGACACAGTGACAGTGAAGGAATGGCAATATAGTACCAAGTCAGGATGGTGTGTGGTTCGATGTGTAAAATGGCTCCATGGTCTGTCTATGCAACAGAAACTGCAGTTGAAAGCAATTTACTACTTTTGAGATATTTTTGATGAATGTTATGGAGTGCTATATATAGACAAGTTGTCATTTTTATGACTGATGAGGGAATAGCTATTGCTCTGAGTCTAAAGAAGAAAATAGTATTTCTGTCATTTCTCAGTTTACTGAGGATAAAAACCCATTTCTCAATAAAGCTACAGTAATCAGAAGACAGTCATTTGAAACTGCTTTTATTTTCAAGTGGATTCCAAGTGAGGAGACTTGAGAGCAAACCTTAGCTTTAAACAAATCATGTAAAATTTAAACCCAGGTGTTAAAATGGACATTAATTCACATTGCTACTACTTACTCTGCTTATTGGCAGCCATTAATCTTGGTGAATTGGACATTCCACACAGAGCTTCATGTAACATAAGGACTGAGGGAAATTTAAGCACAATCCATCCTGTAAGACTTAGTACCGACTGAATGAATATTGTGTGGTGCGTAAGTCGATGATCTCTTTGTCACATACAACAGACTTCATCTTGGCTAAAAATAATTATAGGTCTCTTTGTAAATGAATATAAGCAAAGTGGTATTTGAAGCCTTTGTGTACAGGGAGAGTTCCTGATAAGATCAGGTTGTCTTGTAATGTGAAGTGATGTAAGGAGCAACACTAATTTGGGAAGTAAAAACTGGAAGAACTGCAGATGCTGTAAATCAGGAACAAAAACAAAACTTGCTGGAAAAGCTCAGCAGGTCTGACAGCATCTGTGAAGAAAAATCAGAGTTAATGTTTCGGGTCCAGTGACTAGTTCTGAGGAAGGGTTCTGATTTTTTTCTTCACAGATGCTGCCAGACCTGCTGAGCTTATCCAGCAACTTCTGTTTTTGTTACTAATTTGGGAAAATTTTATTGATTGTAGGTGGGACAACAGGGACAACTGTGGGACTGACAGTTAGTGGCGGGAGCAGAGATTTGGTCCTCTGAAGACCTGTACAATAACTTGCATCCTCTCCATCCTCAGTATCACTAATGTTCTCTTGCTCATCAAGCTTATGGCTCTCTTCCAATATATTGTTCTCACTGTAGAGGCAAGTGATGCAACATGCTTGTTGTTTGATACCCTATTTCTAATCCTGTTTGGCCAAAAAGATATGCATTTATATTTGATCAACCCTTGAATTTCCTGGACACGAGTCTCCTGCTTCATGATAAAAGACAAAGCCAAGACTACCTGCAGTCAGGAGTGGGGAGAATCAGCATGAAAACCACACCCCCTTTCTCAGCAGTAAGAATGCTGTTATCTGTAGTTTATACGTCCAGCAACTGATATGACAGCAACTGAGAAAAGGTGGATGTAGGGTAGATGGAGTAAGGTAGCAGGTAGACAAAGGGATATGGTGATAGGTGGACGAGTCTTTAGAGTGATGATGAGGGTCAGTGAAGGGCTAAGCTGGCAGGTACGTGACTAGTTGGGGTGACATGTGGATGAAGGATTAAGGTGTCAGGTGAGTGAAGGGGTATGGTGTCAGGTAAATGAATGACTGCTTAGGGTAGGTTGAAGGGTCATTCAGAGGCTGGAGGATCCAGTCTGGTCAATGGGGTCTTGGGACAAGGTGGGAGACATCAGGAGTTTGTGGACTGATGTTGGGGGATGAGTAGAGAGTGATTAGCTGTAAAAAATCCTGAAAGATCTGTGGATGCTGTAAATCAGAAACAAAAACAGAACTTGCTGGAAAAGCTAAGCAGGCCCAGCAACACTTGTGAAGAGAAATCAGAGTTAATGTTTTGGGTTTCCAGAACTGAGGAAGGGTCACGGGACCCGAAACATTAACTCTGATTTCTCTTCACAGATGCTGCCAGACCTGCTGAGCTTTTCCAGCAATTTCTGTGATTAGCTGTGAGTTGGGGGATGTTGTCAGTTCCATTGTTACCCAGGAGCTAGAGTAAATCTTTAATTCTCTATCAAGCGTACGTGATCTTCAACCCTCTGGAATCTCTAAGTTCAGGGGACCTTTTCAGAGGGTGTCAGAGGTTGTGTAATTAACCGAAGAAAATTTCAAGTCACTGGGCAATTCCTGTGGAGACAGCTGTATTGGAATTTTCAGATGGTCTCAATGTGCAACTCCAGTCTACTCTGTAGAAATGATAGTTCCTGGAATTTCTTGGTGATTAGTTTAAAAGAGAGTTGTCGATCTAACAGGAAACAGAGTCAGGATGACTGGGCCATTTTCAGATTGGTATTGTGGCTTCACCAATGTACAATTTATAATAATGGCTTGGACGAACACTCTTAAGTGTGTTGTAATTAGATTTGCTGATGATACAAAGATAGATTGGATAGCAAGTTGTCAGGAGGTCACAAAGGGTCTACAAAGGGATATAAATAGATTACGTGACTGAATAAGCATTGAGCAGATTGAGTCTAATGTGTTAAAATATACAGTTGTCTACTTTGGCAGGAGGAACATAAAAGCAGACTGTCAGTTACCTGGAGAGAAATTGCAGAATGATGTGGTACACGTGGATCAGATTTGAGCTCCCTAAATAAGGAGGTGTATATTTACTCTTACATTAGAGGCAGTTCAGACAAGGTTCATTAGACTGGTTCCTGGAGTGAAGGGGTTAGTTATAAAGATAGGTTGAACAGTTAGGGTCTATAGTCATTGAGTTTAGAAGAATGAGAGATTCTGCAAAGCCTGACAGAGCGGAAAAATTTAGAACCATTTCAAAATAAGGCATCAGCCATTGTAAACAAAGTTGAGTAAGGACATTTTCTCAAAGAGTCATTAACCTTTGGAATTCACTGCCCCATAGAGCACAAGAAACTGGATCACTGAAGGCTGAGTGAGATAGCTTTTGATCGACAAAGGAGTTAAAGGTATTTTGGAGCAGGCTAGAAAGTAGAATGAAAGTCACAATCAAGTCAGCAATATTTATTTATTTTTTCATGAGATGTATGCAAGGCAACTGTTTACTGCTATTGTTTACTGCTCCTTGAACTGAGTGATTTGCTT